AAAAAGCGAAAAGGTACATAAGTGTCGAAGTTTTCTTCAACATTAGTAATCCGGGTTAATTCGGTGCTTAGACTGGATTATTTGTGGAAGACAAGATTCATCGCTTTTCTGTCATATCCTTAGGCGTCCCGATGCTCGTATTCAGATATCTGTTCGTTCATATATTCCTATGAGACGTGAAATATTATTTCAGGATGATTTGGTTCATGAACGTGATAACATTCGTCTGAATACCACCGATAAGAACACCATATCACTGGGAACGAAAGTTCTCAAGGGAACGTATGTATTGAAGGTTTGTTTCCATTCTCTGTGCCTGTTAATTTGAATTGAGGCGGAGCTGTGTACTGGTAAGTAGCGCTTACTACACGCGCAATCCGAGATGTACTCACTATCACTGAAGTCAGTCGGGGCGTGCCAGCGCGGCATGGTTTTGGCGTGCCGGCCCCTTTCCCAATAATCATTAAACACCTGAAGCCGCAACGATCGACGGAAAACGGGCTAGCGCCGCACTGACGTCAGTTATTATCTTTGACTTCAGTGATAATAGGCTTTCGCTCTGGCCAATCCCTCTATCCTCAGGATCGAGTAGTTGGTATCGAGCTTGTCATGGAAGGGAAAACACGGGCCTTTGAGGAATCAGTATGGGAGAGGATCGCGTAAAAGAATTGCAGCAATTCTGGCTAAAGGTAGAATGCATGGCGCTCCCCAAAAGGTATTGATTGGCTCTGGAAACTTAGTACTTTTCGGCGTTTATTGATTGATACAGCTCAGTGGTCGACGCTCAAAGCTTTCAAGTTCTGGGTTAATAAGGGTAGAATATTCTTAACATCTGGACATTTAGCGATACGCAGAAGATCCCCTGCTGCTGGAAAAAACGCTCGAATTCCTTTCTCCCGAGAGGTTGTTTGAGCGTAAAACTGTGGCGAACTCGAGATGGCCTTATTGGTGAAATAGGCTGCCCGAGTTGAACTCCACGCCTCGTCACACACCTAATCGTTTGCAGGAATGGAGTCTGTAGTTGGCGACTGTGACAAAATCTCTCATTTTAGTTTCTCTACTGTATAGTTCTGCCACGTTTAGGCTATAGAAGCATTGAAAATGGAGCAATGTATCATATTCTGTCGAACGAAACAACAATGCGATGACATGGAAGCTTACCTGATCAAAAACAGTATGTTTTCCATGAGCACGTGATAGTTCTGAAGTCCTTCATACTGTTCTAATTAAATTTTGATCTGTTCTTGCAGAATATGGAGCATGTTGTCTTCATGGTGATCGCTCGCCAAAAGAACGAACGCAAAACCTTCAGGATTTCAAGGTACTATTCTTGGAAAGAGCAGCTTTTGGGCTCAGTAAACCTGGAGACTCTCTTAATTTGTCTTTCTTTCAGGCGAAGAAAAAAGCCTTTCCTGGTGTGCACAGATGTAGCTGCTCGTGGTATCGATATTAGCGGTGTTCCATTTTGTAAGTGGTTTTTTTGAGTATTCCATTCGTCTATTGTCATCAAAGACAAGCTGCACCCTCACCTCTTTGGAGTGATCCTTGCCATGTGTAAGGTGAACAGCTGCGTTAGCGTCAACAATAAACAGTAGAGGTGCCATTTCCTCCGCTTACCACTGGAAAAGTATGGGAATGGGGCCGGAGGGTAGTGATACCCCAGTGCCATCTCCATCGCCTGCAGCACGCCTAACCATATCCAAACGCGCTGCTTGCCTGCGTCCTTTCACTTCTCGTTGTTCTCTATGGCTGCTTCGCTGCTGAGCTTGACATCGGCGCAAGTGCAGCGTTTTGAGTATAGCCGGCGGGCCGAAGTAATGGAGGACGATACCCGAGTATCACTACTCTGCAGTCAGTTCTCCGTGGCATTCTTTGAGCGGTGTGAAGTGGCATGTTACCTTCGGCTCCGGGGGTGAGTGTCAGTTCGTCTTCAAAGACTTTTATATTTAGGGGCGCTATTTGTCAAAGTTGCTCAATGTTTGGCCGGCATGTTGTCCCAGCCAATGGAAGTTTGCTGAGAGCTGCTTTCTTACCCAAGAAAAGGGCAAAATTTTTTGTAAATGCTTCGTAAGAGAAGGCTGTTCAGCCTAGTCATGCCAAACCACTTCTTTTCATTTTCTCCTGGTCACGGCTTCAACGAACACTAGTCTAAATCTCTAGTCCTTAGTCACTCATCTCGTATTTCCCTTTCCGGCCTATCCAACTTCTATTGAAAGACTTCCTGTGCGTGAAACATTTAAGATAACCTCTGGTTTTCTTTCAGTGATAAACGTTACACTTCCTGATGAAGCGGCTCAATATGTGCATCGTATTGGACGTGTTGGACGAGCAGAGAGGTTTGATCGTTTCTTAGGTCTACTCGAATGAAAATTTTGGCGTCACTTACCTTTCACTGCCCCAATCATTGAAAGCTGGGATCGGTTTTTTTTCTTGAAATTCTTTCCCGGAGGTACTAGGCTACAAGTTGAGATCTCTGGGAATATTTTGATCCCCCTGAATATGAATGTAACATTCGTTTAACGCCAAGAACTTCTCCATCCACCCAATTGGCTAAGAGTCACCTTCAGTGCTAGTTTGAGCCTTTGGAAAGGTGTATCACATTCGTTCGGCGCAAAAATGTCAGGTTTTTGAAATTTTCTGAGAAACCGTTCTTTTCCATAGGCTCTGCCTCAGAACAGAGGCCCCTGTGAGGCCCCCATTAACTACAGTAGAACCCTCAGAGAACGGAACTCATTCGAAGACAAACTGTACACTCCTCTTTGTGGATCCTGATGCTTGCCTTGGTGGGTAGGATGGGTCCACAGTTGAATGGGGATATGCACCAGTGGTGG